GTCCTCCTTCCCCTATTAAATAATCTTGGCCGATTTCCTAGCTTGCCAATCTTTAAACAAAAGGGGCAAATACAAACGATGAATAGGCAATTGTGATGGTTTGCATGTTTAAAATGTTTAAGGAGATACATGTATAAGTCCTCTGCTAATGGACGCAGGTTTCTTAGTTTTCTCAGGTCTCGTACATCATCTCGGTGCTATAACTTTTGTCTTATAACACTTCCGCTAACAGCCCACCAACTCCTCTGTACTTTTATACCAACGCATCCGATAGAGGTTCTGTTTTTAACGTGATAAGGTGACAAAATCAAAAGAGTTCATTTTAGAGAAAAATATTTGTATAAAGACCCCAAGATTTATAACCTAGTCACTTGTTTGTGCAACAAAAAATGAGTGCTAGTTAAGGATTGTGTAGACTTTTGAGTAAATATAGAGCAGTACCGCAGGATTAGTAAAGTAAGTAGGGTAAGAGAACTTCGCAACATTGGCATGTTATTCAAATGACAAGAAACTGGGTAGATCCTCTACGAAATCATATAGCCAATACCTTGTGCAAAAGATTGGTACACGCTGGTGCTCCCCATAATCATGTATCCCCATAAGATTGAGCTAGGATGGAATTGGTGAAATAGAGGCAAAATTGTTAGCTACGCTTACCCATCCGTTTAAGGACCGAACGACTGCGGTTGAAAGCAGGCTACTCTACACAATATCATACTGCACGAAAAGATGGAACGTAACACAACTAAAACGTGTGAAGTGCATAATGGGGATGAAGAAGAAATAGTCAATACAACCTCTGAGATGAAAGAAGGTTCGGTTTTTGCAAAATGGGGCGCAATGCATCGCCACCTTATGCAGCTGCACAAATAACCTCTCCATGAGAGCTTCGCCATACATATAATGTGAGTGAGGGTGGAAGTTGGGGCAAAGACTGGCAGCACTGGCTTGTCCTCATCGCTATCCTCATCTTGTCTCATATTGACCTACTGACAGAGAGTGGTATAAAAATCAGACTAGGAAGTTAAAAACTACAAAAAGGATAATGGTGAAAAAGAAACCGTGTTACCTGGCCAGTATTGAGCCGTTTGGTTTCGGTAGCGAAGCGTTTTAATCGGTTTAGTGTTGCCAAGGCAGTGTCTTGTAGGGAAATAATGATGTATTTTGTTAGTCCTCGTTGCAGTGAGTAAAGTGTATTATAAGAAGCCCTTTGCACAAACTCTTTTGGCAAATTTGACAATACTGAGGCACAAAATAACTGTCTTTTCCTTCCCCATGCAACCATCTCAAATAAGATGCAACCGACGATTTCATTAAAATTTGAAATCAAATTTTAATATAGAGCTCTTTAAAGTCATGATATCATGAGCTGATCTTTAAGTGGGACTATATTGCATTCACAATCGAGGCACCAATCTCTAGCGAAAAAGATCAGGCAGGCTGGACCAATGAGCACAGACAAGTCTGGAGACAGCACTAGAACCCCTTATAATGCAGGATTTCCGATCAAGCATGCCAATCGCTTCAGTTATGCTAAGAGTCGTTGCATTTTTCATAATTGTCTTTCTCTGCGTAGATTCTAGTGAGGGACTTATGCTGCTTAGAATAAACTTGATGCATCTGCTCTTTTCATGCCTGCTTGCACATATTCTCTCGCGACAAGGTTATTTGCTTCATCCACACTTCACTCTGATCATCAATTAGTGGAAATCTGTGGATTTAAAACTCCACAAAGGGTGTCAGAAATAAGTTTTTACTTATTACATTTATTCATTATCAAGATATTATAAAGGTAACTTAAATGTGGTGTATTTTTAAAGAATTTTGGAAAGGAAAAAGGGGGAAAAACACGTAAATGCCTTTCATCAAATATAGCCATTTTATTAAGGTCAAATTTTACATAAGTCACTACGTTTCTTGTTTCTTTTTAGTTGTAGACGCACAAATCAGCTCGATCAAAGATGACACAAGGATAATCAGAGGTCCGATAAACAGCAGCTATACGCTTCAATCTGTTCTACCTGATGTGTATAAGGTAAAACGTGGTTCTACTGTATCATAACTACTCTTAAAAAGGATAATTTCCCCTTATTTTATTGTAGGCTGTTGTTATTAACGATCGCAGCTTCCCAATAACAAATGGCGTTTGCAGAACCAGCTACTTCACCCGCACATATATTCAAAGTAGGTGCCCCAAACTCTTTATTTCTTCTCTGTAGGCATTTTAAGTAATTTATTTTAGCACTTTATTTTGAACTATGCAGTTTGGATCAAAACTTAGTCTAAATTAAAGTACCTGTGAAATTTTATGCATTAAAAGATCCTTTCATAAATTATTATAGTGCGGCCATATCACGCGGTGGTGACACTGGCAGGAAAAATTTCGGAAGATTTAAGTTGGATTACGTTTATACCACAAAGGGAGTCCGTAATTGCTGTATCAATTGCTGTGTTCCCAAACAGCGTGTGGATATATTTTGAGGCTTTGCATAACTTATATTACCAAATGTGCCTTTAACTTCATAATCATGTAAATGGTTTGATTCCAAATCCAAATCAGCCATTTTTGGTTGATGCTCTCAACATGACAGAAGCCAAGCTTACTTGCACATTCAATGGAACTGAAACATCGGTATGCAAATTTTGGTTTTTAATTAGTGCCGTTTACCCAATGCCAGAATTCTACCCTCGAATTGTTTATTAGCTCTTAACCTCTTAACTGACTGTTGCTTTCAAGGCCACGATTGTTGCAACAAAATACGCCTCTCCAGTATACGCAATTCTGTCAGCTTAAAAAAAGTACACTGCTAGGTTTTTCCTAATGGTCGCATAAGACTGGTTTATTGTTTGCGCGCAGGGTTATTAGGAAATTTGTAGACTGTAGGTCATCTTTAGAGATTCTATTTGTATAAGGTGATAGAATAAGGAATTTTTGATCATTTTCATTGAATAAATGAAAAATCATAGACATAGACAATTTTATCTAGATGCAAAGGGCACTGTAAAGTTGGACTTTTAAGTTGAGTTTTCAGAAATGTCTTCGATTTCAAAAGTCTACACAGTAAAAGAAAGCATTTTGAAATTTCGGTGATTTTGCCATCTACTTTGCTGTCTCAGTGCTGTGTCTGAAAAACGTATTTGCAATACGAAAAACTTAGCCGTTCCAGGACCCGTAATGCGACCCACGAGTCAGAAAATGACATTAAATTTACTCAAGTTTCCACTCATCATAAACGATCACCCACTTTCGTAGTCTTCATCCTCATGCATTCTCAAAACACTCAGTTTTACGTACTCTTCTAAGAGGCAGCCATAGTATAGTAGTGAGCTTGTTATTTGCATTATTTCAGTACCACCTAATACACCTACTTAAGTGAAAAGAAGAAAAATGATCCTGATTATCTGTCCTACATCGTAAAATTTTTACATTATGGCATACATTTGGACCGCTCATCTACACACGGTCTTAGCCGTTGTCTTAGTGAGACAACTATCTTGCCTTCTTGCCTCTTCAGTAATTATTTATAGTGGAACGACTGCGCAGACGTGCAGAATGACCCATCGTGGGCCACATCTAGACTGGTAGAAGGAGCTGAGATGAGAGGGGGGGGTAACCCAAACCAGTTGGGAAGTTGAGTGTTTCCGATAGTGGAGAAATCATTCCAGAGCCAATTTTTAGGATTAAGACTGACGATACCTGCCACATACACGTCGGTTCTCAACTCCTCCTCACCAATCTCCCCTCCCCTCCTCTCTATGCAAGACCCTCAACATCAGCAATAACACATCAGAACCAATCCACTTAAAGTGTAAAAAGTTGGTACGCATACAATCAAGCACATATATGTGCGGAACTTTAAAGGAGGACGAAAATCGCAGTGAATATGAAAACAGATCAATGGGGAAATAGGCTCAATTCAAACCGAGGTGGCGGATCTCCCCTTTACTCCCACCACATCGGCCATCGTTTCTCGAACTCGCAAGCAACTGAGAACATACTTGACCACAAGGCTACTG